GAGACATGCAAGTGAAAAACAACCGGTTGGCAGAAGATCCATCCAGAGAAGATAGGACTTCAGGTGAATATGGAGAAAACAGAGGTGATGAAGATTCCTGGCCAACACCAACAACAACAGACAACAATCAGCCAGCATAAATGGGAGGAACCTGAAAGAAGCAACCTCCTTTACCTACCGACCTACCTGGGAAGCATCGTTTCAACTACAGGCGGGCGGAACTGACGAGGATATCAAAGCGAGAATCGGAAAAGCAAGACAAGCTTTCATTACTCTCAAGTCTGTGTGTAGGTCGACAGCACTCAGCATCAAAAATAAGATCCGGATTTTCAACTTGAATGTGAAATCAGTCAATGCTACTCACCATACGGATCGGAGACTTGACGCGTCATGAAGAGCATCTCAAACAAACTACAGACCTTCATTAACAGCTGTCTTTGCTCAATACTCAAGATCAGATGGCCAGGAAAGATCAGAAACAAAGATCTCTGGGAGCGAACCAACCAGCAACCGATTGTGAAACAAATAGGCAGAAAGAAATGGAGATTGATTGGCTGGTCATACTCTGAGGAAACCATCAAGTGACATCACACGCCAGGCCATTGCTTGAGTGGAACCCGAAAGGGAAGCGGCGAGTCGGTCGTCAGTGCAAGGGTGACTTGGAGGAGGTGATGTGAAGAGGAAATGAATTCATGTGGGCAGACTTGGAGCGGGGTGAATAGGTTGGCAGAAAACCGAAGGCGATGGAGACGCGCGGCTGAATCCCTATGTTCCTCTAGGAATTAAAGGACATAATAATAATGTCACCATTTGAGATGTCGTCCATTACGTTTTGTAGTTGCCTGTAAAAGTCTTCCTCCTTTTATTGTTCCGCGTTGTTTGTAGGTGTGTAGCATTGGATAATCGTTACCTTCTTTCTTTCGGAGTTGAATCATGACCCTGGATGAAATTGGCTTTCATAGCATAGGGTCTTTGGCTGCGACTCATGACATGATGATTGCCACTCACTCCCTCAGTGAACTCGTGTTTGTCGTGTCGGTGACGAGACCGGAACGGATTACAGTCCACATCCATTCCATCTGCTCTGGCAGATTCCGAGCACTTCTTTAGATATTCCAGCAACCTTCTTAGCCCAGTACATTGTACGAACATTTCACGTCCCTACTACCACTTTTGTTTTCATCGAAAGAATAAGACACCTAGAATGACTGGCTTCCCGAAGGCTATCACAAGCCCTCTATGTCGTTTCGTCTATTCCATTTGAGCGGAAAATAAGTATTTTTATACTTTTAGTATCTTTGATATGTCTTGTGCACTGAGGTTTTTGCAGCATTTTGATTAATTTTGTGGTGTAGGGTCGCCAGCCGGACGCCCAACCACCCCTCTTTTCCCGGGCTTGGGACTGGTTATTAAACCAGAGACCTAGTAAACTAGGCGAGGTTAACAAGGGAGAGGTCTTTCAAATGATTGTGCTATAAGATGATATCGCATGCTGGCGTCATCTAGCAAGAGGCAGGAATGGGTGTTTTTGGTTCTCTTGAAAAGTTGAGAATAACTGAACTATCTGGTCTATTAACGATTTTAAAGGACTTCATAGTGTTCACCTCAAAAATCGTAAAGAGAGAAACAAGCATATCATTCGTGAAGGATTCGTGAAGTCTGCGTTGAATATCGGCAAATAAACCATCCAGCCGAAGGGAATTCATAACTGAATTTAATTAACAATAAACACGGTTAGTTTCATTTTCATTCCATGAATTCTTCATAAAACCACACAAAAAAAACAACTGATATGCACCAGTACAGAATTATTTCTGTGAAAAGTTTTCACTAAAAGGAGGCAAAAAATCACTTGTAACAAAAAGTTATACAACAGTCTACATAATCTAAACACATAGTGTTGTTCAATTTTCAATTTCAATTTCAATGTTCAACAAAATAAAACAAAAACCAAATAATGACTAGAAACAAAGAGTAGAATGACTGCTACTACTACTAATACTACTACTCATCAACCCATAGAACATTATTAAAAAAAATTTATTTTTTCTATCTCCTGTCTAAATCAAAACACTAGTTATAACTAGGGGATTAAATGTTGACAATATAAATGTAGTGGTGATAATTTTATGCATTTCACTTCTCATTCAATATTCATGGATAATGGTGAGTGTAGTTGTTGTTATCGCCTGGTAAACAAATTCACGCATGAAGAAATCTAAATCTAAACTGTACACACTTACATACTCATGAAATGGAAGCTTGGAGAATGCAGTCATTTATGACTGAGTGATACATAAGTGTGTTTTATGGACGTTTGTCACTATAATAAACTATGCATTCTCTCTCCATAGATCAGAAGTTAGACCAAAAAAGTAAAAAGAAAAACATAAAATGAGGAAAAAACACGAAAACCGTGTGTTCATATAAAAATCTGTGAACCTTGAAACGAAGCATAATGAGGAAATGAATGCGAAAAAAAATGAAAGATGGAAAAATAATCATGTGGAAGTTCAACAAAGTTTTATACAAGTTTTGAAAGTAATAATAGTTCTTATCAAGTGTTATTTTACAGAGATTTCATTGATTAGAGATTTGGTTACCAGCTGACATCAGTCATTGTTATTGTTTCCTTCAGTTCCTGAAGGAACACACGGCTTCAGCCACACGTCTCCACTGCGTTCAGTTCTCTGCCAAAGTTTTCATCACCTGGCTCCATGTCTGCCCACATGCTTTCATCTCCTCTTCACATGATCTTCTCCATGTTACCCTACCCTCGGAATGATGACCAACTCCCCGCCTCCTATTTGGGCTCCACTCGAACGATGTCCTGGCTTATGATGTCAGTTGATGGTTTGTTTTCTCATAGTATGACAACCAATCTAACTCCTGTTCTTTCTGTGTATTGTCGCACAATTGGTTCCTACTGAGTTGGTTCAATCCCAGAGATCCCTCCCTGTTGCTGAAATGTTTGGCCATCTGATCTCGAGCGAAGTATTGAGCAAAGAGAGCTGTTGATGGAGGTCTGTAGTTTTTTTGAAAGAGCCTTCGTGACGCGCCAATTATCTCATCCGTATAGTAGCCCTTACATCACATGGGAGTTGAAAATCTAGATCCTATTTATCATGCCGAGTGCTGTTGACCTTCACACAGACTTGAGAGTATTGAAAGCTTGTCTTGCTTTCCCGAAGATCCTCGCGTGATATCCCCATCAGTTTCGTCGACCTGTAGTTGAAAAGATGCTTCTCAGGGAGGGAGGTGGACAAAGGAGGTTGCTTCTCTCAGATTTCTCCTGCTTATGCTGGCTGATTGTTGTCTGTTTTTGTTGCAGTGACTGTCGCTGTTGGCCGAGAATCTTCATCACCTACCTCTGTTTTCTCCATGTTTACCTGAAGTGCTATCTTCTCTGGATGCTTCTTCTGCCAACTTGTTTCCTTTCACTTGCATATCTCTCAGTTTGTGGGAAATCAGACATATACCATCGGCAAAGTTCAGATCCTTCAAGTGTTTGTGTGTCCATTTTATGCCTGTTTCCTCGCTCTTCACCGCTGTCAGTCGCATTATCCATACCACCGCAATCAGGAGAATTGGTGGAGATAGTAGGCAGACAGCTTGTCTTACTCCTGTCTTCATTTCGAAGGATTCCATGAATAACCCGTTGTGGATAACTTGGTTTTATGATTGTTGGCGGCATCTGATAGTAGCGAAGAAGCTGTTACAAGCCTGGCAAAATATAGAGGCTTTTAATTCTATATTATTTTCGTCATTTTTACTGTTGATCTTAGTTTCTCTATAGTCCTTCATGTATTTTTGAATAAATTCTCGTGTGTAGTGTGTTATTCACAGGTAACGTTTACTTTATTTGTTTGATTTCATCATTTAAATATTCTGACTCACTAGTTGGGCTCCTAGCCCGAGTGTGTAGACATATAACTAAACTTATCTTTACTGATTCTAGATGGGATGAATTGTAGTCTAAGTATTCATTAGAGTATGTTGGTTTCCTAGATAAGCTAGTATCTAACCCACCCGCCGTCCTGTTTTCGTTTTATTCAACAGTCCAGCATGGCCAACCCACCCTGTTAGTTTTCTAATTCAGAGGTGAATTGAAAACCGCCTACTGTTAAGTTTTTATGTGTGACAAAATGAACTATATGTTAAGATTTCAACGCAGTGATGGGGTGCGTCATTTACATATCTCCATCATGACCTAGGAGGTGCAAGAATAAACGTTCTAAGAGCTGCATGTTCCCAACTATCCATAAATATGTCTGCCACTATTTAGGATATTGACCTCTCCAGATTACTAGCTTGCTAGGTTAGTAGCTTACTAGTTTTCTAGCCGGTCCCAAGTCCGGGTAAAGAGGGAGGGTTGGGGCGTGGTGCTAGCAACTCCACCCCTGTAAAACAACCAAATCACTACAGAAACTTCAACGAATAAATATATTAAAAATTCTAAAAACACAATCAATAGCCTTACTTTTCGCTGGAATCGGGGAAGTGAAATGACGCAGGCTGGTGAAAGCCTTCGGGAAGCCAGTCAGCCGATGTGCCTTCTTTCGATGAAAGCAAAAGTAAGGATGGGTACCTGGAATGTTCGTACAATGTACGAAACTGGAAAGGCTGCCCAGATAGCCGCTGAAATGAGAAGGTACAGAATAGAAGTGTTGGGAATCTGCGAAAGCAGATGGAACGGAACTGGAAGGTGCCAACTACCAACTGGAGAGACAGTAATCTTTTCCGGCCACCCAGAGGACAACCATGAGCACACCGAGGGAGTGGCCATCATGATGTCACCAACAGCAGCCAAAGCTCTCATGCAGTGGGAACCAATCTCCTCCAGGATAATGACAGCCAGGTTCAACTCAAAAGGAAGGAAAGTTACAGTCATTCAATGCTATGCGCCTACAAACGTCTCAGAACAAGAGAAGAAGGAGGCGTTCTACAGACAACTACAAGCAATAATGGACAACGTCCCAAATGGCGATATCAAAATCCTGATGGGCGACATGAATGCGAAGCTGGGAGGAGACAACACAGGAAGAGAACTCACCATGGGTCGTGAGGCCCTCGGTGAAATGAACGACAATGGTGAACTCTTCTCAGACTTCTGCGCCTTCAATGATTTGGTGATTGGTGGTAGTGTGTTCAAACACAAGGATATACACAAGACGACATGGATTTCACCAGATGGAAACACCAAGAATCAAATAGACTTCATCTCAATTTCAAGAAAGTGGAGACGGAGCCTACTGGACACAAGGTCAAGGAGAGGAGCAGATGTGGGTTCAGACCACTATCTAGTAGAAGGGACTTTCAAGGTGAAACTAAAAGCCTCGAGGATAGCTGGGGATAGGCCACAATGCAAGTTCAACACTCAATTACTGAAGGACACAACCACAAAAGACACCTTCACTGCAACTGTCAGAGCAAAGCAGGAAACACTACGCGACATCACTGAAGAATCATGCGTGGAAGAACATTGGAAGTCTCTGAAGGCGATTCTCAACGAAACGTGTTCAACGGTTCTAGGAAGAAAGAAGAGACAAGACAAGGAATGGCTCTCAACGGACACTTGGAAATTAATAGAAGAGAGGAGAATGGTGAAAGAGAAAATGATTCAATGCAAGGACGGACAGGAGAAGGAGACGATGAGCTCAACTTACAAGCACTGGACAAAGAAGTGAAGAAGAGTGCTAGGAAGGACAAAAGACGATTCTACGACAACCTGGCCACTGAAGCTGAGAAGGCAGCAGGCAAAAGGGACCTGAGGACACTATATCAGATAACCAAATCTCTATCCGGGAAGAGACCAACACAAGCGAAACCTATAAAAGACAGCCAAGGGAACCCAATTACCAAGGAAGAAAAACAGATTAAACAATGGGCGGATCACTTCAAAGGACTCTTGAACCGACCATCACCTGCAACCCGTCCAGAAATACCAACAACAGCGCGCACACAACTGCAAGTTGACACCAATCCTCCAACGAGAGCTGAAGTCTTGAACGCAATCAAACTTCTGAAAGCTGGAAAAACAGCCGGACCAGATGGAATACCCCCTGAAGCACTGAAAGCAGACCCAGAGACGACAGCAGACATGCTGACTCCATTATTGCAAAAGGTCTGGAAGGAGGGAAAGGTGCCTACTGACTGGAGGAAAGGTTACCTCGTGAAACTACCAAAGAAGGGCGACTTACGCCTCACTCTGCAAGAACTGGCGAGGAATCATGCTCCTATCGACGCCAAGTAAAATCCTGAGTCGCATCATCCTGGAGAGATTAAAGGACGCACTGGAGACAGAACTCCGACCAGAACAAGCTGGATTCAGGAAAGGCAAATCATGTACTGACCAAATTGCAACTCTACGCATCATCATCACAGAACAAAGCATGGAATGGCAATCAAACCTCTACCTCAACTTTATAGACTTTGAGAAGGCCTTCGACAGCGTTGATCGTGAAGTAATTTGGAAATTACTCGAGTACTATGGCGTACCCCAAATATTCATCAACCTTATTCAACAGCTGTACGACAACGGCACATGTCAAGTGATCCACAACGGAAGACTCAGCGAGGCGTTTGGAGTAAACACAGGAGTCAGACAAGGGTGCTTATTATCACCAATGATATTCCTAATTGTGGTGGACTGGATTATGCGTCAGACAGTGGGAAACGAGAAGACAGGGATATCCTGGACCGACGTGAAGAACCTAGAAGACCTGGATTTCACGCGTGGATGATTTATGTTTGATGTCACACACAATCGAAGACTTACAAGCGAAAACCGACAAACTGGTCGAAGAAGCAGCCGGTGAAGACAGGACTCCAGGTAAACATAGACAAGACGGAGGTTATGAAAATAACCAACCAACAACAACAACAGCAGCAATATCCAGTGTCAATCACCATCAACGGGAGGGATTTGAAAAAGGTTACTTCATCCACTCACTTATCTGGGGAGCATTGTCTCAACTACAGGCCAGAGGAACGGACGAGGATGTCAAATCGAGCGAGAATCAGGAATGGAGAGAAACACATTCATCATCACCTGAAACCATCCTGGAAATTGTTGTCACTCAGCCAGCATCAACAACAAAATCGTCGGATTTTCAATACAAACGTCAAGTCAGTCAGTTCTTCTATACGGATCAGAAACTTGGAGGACGGGTCATAAAGATTATTTCCAACAGCCTGTTGCAGACCTTTATCAACCAACAACTGTCTTTGCTCTATACTGATAGCCGGAAAGAACCACCAACAAGAAACTATGAGAACGAACAAACAAAACAAGAACCAGTCGCCCATCAAATATGCAGGAGAAAGTAGAGATGGATCGGTAATTCACTGAGGAGACCGCTGGGTGACATCGCGCGTCAAGCCATTGCTCGAGTGGAACGTGAAAGGGAAGCGGCGTATGGGACGTCCAAGGGTGACACGGAGGAGATCGTGTGAAGAGGAGTTGAAGGAAAATGGACTAACATGGATGCAAGTGAAAAGTACAGCAGAATGCAGAAACAAATGGAGACGTACAGTTGAAGCCCTATGTTCCACTAGGAACCCAAGGGAGCAATAATAATAATAATCTAGAATATTGGTAATACCATCGCCACACTATTCGTTTGTTTATGCAGTTTATTTTGAAATTCGAATACAGTGGAGGTTAGACATAACTGAACACCTAATATTATTTCATCAACTGAAAGCCTATTCCTACTCCTGAACTCATGATCAATTTTCAGTTCATTCCTAATTGTCCCCATATCTGTATTAACGGGAGTATTAGTATATAAACTGGTTGTATCAAAACTAATCACTCCATTATGGATAAGATTTTATTTTGATAAATCACACAGTGTTATACAGTTATATTAACTGATGACGTTTCGAGCACAAACTATGATATGATTATGAGCAATAGTTTGTGCTCGAAACATCATCACTTAATATAACTGTATAAGACTGTGTGATTTATCAAAATAAAATCTTATCCATAATTGAGTTATACTCTACCACAGTGCCCAAGTTTTATACTTATATCAAAACTAATCGCTTTTTTCTTCTTTTTCAAATTGAATTTCCTCTAGTTTCTCTTTCGTTACTTAGGAATCATTTAGCCTAGGATTTGACCTATCTCTAAGGGAACTCGACAATGATGCTAAGTACTTAGATAAATCGTATGGCACGATAGTCGACTACTGGTCTGATAGAGTATCCTGCTTTTCGAAATAGGATCAGGTCCAGATAAAAGAACAGTTACTCGTATGGGATGTGCGTCGGGGGTACAGCAGTTAGTGGTTTGATATCTGGCCACCAATGTACTCCTTTACCTTGATAAGCCAGAAATAAAAGCTGGTAAAGAGGAGAGGTTGGGCATGAGGCTAGCCACCCCATCCTGTGAAAACAAACAAAGCTACACAAACTTCAGTCCTCTAGCTTCAAGCCTTATGTTCCACTGGGAACGTGAAAGAATAAAAAAAACTCGCCTATGAGACTGGCTGGCAGTGGCACTTTTATATATCATGATTTAGCAGAATTTGGAATTCATGGGCTATCTATTGGATCCGATCTCTGGTGGTGACTGGTCTACACACCCTCTTGTTCTAGACTCCATATGTATTCCAGTCATGTTGATCTGGCTAGAAAGTGTTACTGGTTGATGTAAGTCATATACAACTAGCTACTCATATCAGTCAATCAGTTGTACATAGTTTTATGCGTATATGCTTGCTTTCTTGATCATCATTCAGGATATCGAGCAGATCAGATTGTGTGACCTCAACAAATTTGGGTTCCAAACAAAACTGTAGTGAAATTGTACTTCCTCGACCAGTGGAAATTGTATATCAGGGAATTTCGATTGATGACTCACCCTAATAGCTATCTAGGAGTTGAATGGTCTGAGTGGAGTAAAAAAAACCGGCTACAATGCTGATGAATTCGACCCTAAACTAGCAAAATGTTCATCAAACGCTGTTTAGATATCAATTTGATCTGGCTAGCTTGGAAGCTACTCATCAGGCTCTACTGATTGATATGAATGCTACACATTTACATATATCAGTTAACCAGGAGTATACCAATTTTGTAAATATGCATCTTTTTGTTCAGCTTGAAACCGATAAGTAGAATGTTACCTATGTGATGCAAAAACATGCAGTTTTAGTGAGGTTGAAAGGTGTATAATAAACACGGAAAGTTAACTCCACTTTCTACATCATTACACTACATAGAAGGATATGAATAGACAGTCAGATATGCAAGTCCTAATTGCAAGCAAATGCGTTTCTTATTCAGTTAGTAATGTCTGAAGAAATTAGCGGACAGCATGAACACTGAATTAAAAATAGTAATTAATTGAATTCTTCTTTTATTTCGTAACATCAGATTTTTATTGATGGTAAATTCTTTTTTGAAAACATGCCTAATTATGTTAATTTAATGATCAGAAGTTTAGAAAAAATAGTGAATAGTTAGATGAATCATTTTAGAGGATTTTGAAGAAATTGTTCTTTGGTTAGTCCCTAGATAGTGACCAATGTCATGCGGCTACTCTTTGGTATCAGTGTAGACTGAAGGTTTGTATCATTAGCTGTCTGAATTAGGATCAGTAGATGATGAAAAACAAGGTTGGTTTACACCTCGACATGTTAATATTGCTAACCAATACATCACATCACCAAATGCAAAAGCTGAAGTTTTATTGAAATATCACCAAACATCATTAAGAAACCTACCTCACAATCAGTCCAAGTATTGGTATGCAGGGATTTGATTTATTGGTTACAGGATTTCATCATGAGCTGACATCAGTAAGAGAACCATTGGAAAACCTGCAGGGAGTAATGGACAGCTGCTTCTTCCTAGTTTGGGATTTTCCGGCAGTACTAACCTATTGCGGTACCAACCTAGGATCTTCTGGCTACGAGGCGAGCGCGTAAACCATTAGGTCTAACTACCTTAGCATAGTTACCTGGGTACTAGTGAGAATTCGTAACCACTTGAGCACAACAGTTCGGGTGTAAGGAGAAGTTACCCGCCATCGATGACGTTGCCTAGTGATCACGCTATAGCGTGAATTGGCAGAAGTTGGATCCCAGTGGCTCAATGGTATACGAGCTGACCATGGTTCGAACGCCGACCAGTGTGTGCGTACTTCTGAAGAGTCTCAAACTAGGACAAAACTGCTGTCCAGTACTATCAGCTGGTTTCCCAATTTTAAGCTAATGAAAAATTCACAATGAGTCCTAAGTTATTTTATAACCTGACAAACTATCAGATGTTGCAATAACCGATATTAATAATAAGACGCAAACTAAACGCTGCTCTGAAAAGAACATATTCAGCTGCCAAGCTTGTTTGTGTTTATCAAACGGCCAGTTGTTTAAGGCAATAAAAATTGGGCAGACTCTTACCACATATTGCCTCGAACTGCGCCTACCAATTCACGTGTACGTGCCAAAGCACATACACTGAGAGAACAGACAGAAGAGTTATTTTCTGCATCTCTGAACACATACCATTAAACGGTGTGATTGCAAGCCATCTACTGGGCACTAGCTATGATTTGGACAATTTGAAAGTGTTCAGAATAACCAACTGACAAAAGAAACCTAATCTGCTGCGTTTTACTGAAGCAACAGTCATTTAAAGGCTAAAGGCGAATATATGTACTCAAAAAGAGACAGTGGTCAATCTTGCACTGCCTCTGTGATAACACAGCATACAAATTCCATTATGTCATCTTCTTTCCTGTTAAGAAAGATTTATTCTTTCATTCCAACATGACTCTTTTT